ACCAGGTCATGACTGACAGTGTGACATCACTACAGACACATTAACACAACCAGGGCATGACTGACGGTGTGACATCACTACAGACACACTAACACAACCAGGGCATGACTGACAGTGTGACATCACTAGAAACACACTAACACAACCAGGGCATGACTGACGGTGTGACATCACTACAGACACACTAACACAACCAGGGCATGACTGACGGTGTGACATCACTACAGACACACTAACACAACCAGGGCATGACTGACGGTGTGACATCACTAGAGACACACTAACACAACCAGGGCATGACTGACGGTGTGACATCACTACAGACACACTAACACAACCAGGGCATGACTGACGGTGTGACATCACTACAGACACACTAACACAACCAGGGCATGACTGACGGTGTGACATCACTACAGACACACTAACACAACCAGGGCATGACTGACGGTGTGACATCACTACAGACACACTAACACAAACCAGGGCATGACTGACGGTGTGACATCACTACAGACACACTAACACAACCAGGGCATGACTGACGGTGTGACATCACTACAGACACATCACTAACACAACCAGGGCATGACTGACGGTGTGACATCACTACAGACACACTAACACAACCAGGGCATGACTGACGGTGTGACATCACTACAGACACACTAACACAACCAGGGCATGACTGACGGTGTGACATCACTACAGACACACTAACACAACCAGGGCATGACTGACGGTGTGACATCACTACAGACACACTAACACAACAAGAGCATGACTGACGGTGTGACATCACTACAGACACACTAACACAACCAGGGCATGACTGACGGTGTGACATCACTACAGACACACTAACACAACCAGGGCATGACTGACGGTGTGACATCACTACAGACACACTAACACAGCCAGGGCATGACTGACGGTGTGACATCACTACAGACACACTAACACAACCAGGGCATGACTGACAGTGTGACATCACTACAGACACACTAACACAACCAGGGTATGACTGACGGTGTGACATCACTACAGACACACTAACACAACCAGGTCATGACTGACGGTGTGACATCACTACAGACACACTAACACAACCAGGGCATGACTGACGGTGTGACATCACTACAGACACACTAACACAACAAGGGCATGACTGACGGTGTGACATCACTACAGACACACTAACACAACCAGGGTATGACTGACAGTGTGACATCACTACAGACACACTAACACAACCAGGGCATGACTGACGGTGTGACATCACTACAGGCACACTAACACAACCAGGGCATGACTGACGGTGTGACATCACTACAGACACACTAACACAACCAGGGCATGACTGACGGTGTGACATCACTACAGACACACTAACACAACCAGGGCATGACTGACGGTGTGACATCACTACAGACACACTAACACAACCAGGGCATGACTGACAGTGTGACATCACTACAGACACACTAACACAACCAGGACATGACTGACAGTGTGACATCACTACAGACACACTAACACAACCAGGTCATGACTGACGGTGTGACATCACTACAGACACACTAACACAACCAGGGCATGACTGACGGTGTGACATCACTACAGACACACTAACACAACAAGGGCATGACTGACGGTGTGACATCACTATAAACACACTAACACAACAAGAGCATGACTGATGGTGTGACATCACTATAGACACACTAACACAACCAGGGCATGACTGACAGTGTGACATCACTACAGACACACTAACACAACCAGGGCATGACTGACAGTGTGACATCACTATAGACACACTAACACAACCAGGGCATGACTGACGGTGTGACATCACTACAGACACACTAACACAACCAGGGCATGACTGACAGTGTGACATCACTACAGACACACTAACACAACCAGGGCATGGCTGACAGTGTGACATCACTATAGACACACTAACACAACCAGGTCATGACTGACAGTGTGACATGACTACAGACACACTAACACATCCAGGGCATGGCTGACAGTGTGACATCACTATAGACACACTAACACAACCAGGACATGACTGACAGTGTGACATCACTATAGACACACTAACACATCCAGGACATGACTGACAGTGTGACATCACTATAGACACACTAACACAACCAGGACATGACTGACAGTGTGACATCACTATAGACACACTAACACATCCAGGGCATGGCTGACAGTGTGACATCACTATAGACACACTAACACATCCAGGACATGACTGACAGTGTGACATGACTACAGACACACTAACACAACCAGGACATGACTGACAGTGTGACATCACTATAGACACACTAACACAACCAGGGTATGACTGACAGTGTGACATGACTACAGACACACTAACACATCCAGGGCATGACTGACGGTGTGACATCACTATAGACACACTAACACAACCAGGGCATGACTGACGGTGTGACATCACTATAGACACACTAACACAACCAGGTCATGACTGACGGTGTGACATCACTACAGACACACTAACACAACAAGAGCATGACTGACGGTGTGACATCACTATAGACACACACTGACGGTGTGACATCACACAGACACTGACGGTGTGACATCACTATAGACACACTAACACAACCAGGGCATGACTGACGGTGTGACATCACTATAGACACACTAACACAACCAGGGCATGACTGACGGTGTGACATCACTATAGACACACTAACACAACCAGGGCATGACTGACGGTGTGACATCACTATAGACACACTAACACAACCAGGGCATGACTGACAGTGTGACATCACTACAGACACACTAACACAACAAGAGCATGACTGACAACACAACAAGAGCATGACTGACGGTGTGACATCACTATAGACACACTAACACAACAAGAGCATGACTGATGGTGTGACATCACTATAGACACACTAACACAACAAGAGCATGACTGATGGTGTGACATCACTATAGACACACTAACACAACCAGGACATGACTGACGGTGTGAGATCACTATAGACACACTAACACAACCAGGGCATGACTGACGGTGTGACATCACTATAGACACACTAACACAACAAGAGCATGACTGATGGTGTGACATCACTATAGACACACTAACACAACCAGGACATGACTGACGGTGTGAGATCACTATAGACACACTAACACAACCAGGGCATGACTGACGGTGTGACATCACTATAGACACACTAACACAACCAGGTCATGACTGATGGTGTGACATCACTATAGACACACTAACACAACCAGGGCATGACTGACGGTGTGACATCACTATAGACAAACAAACACAACCAGGGCATGACTGACGGTGTGACATCACTACAGACACACTAACACAACCAGGTCATCACCGATAGTCATAGCATGAAACAATTCAAATTTGAACCATCTAAACATTGTGCTTAGTAGACACAAACTACAAACAGTGATGTAAAGAAAATTGAAGAATTTTATTTTCTCTTAGACACATATAATGTTGCATGACATCTCTTAACAACTATGTCTTAACTAATCACATATGTACACAGATAATATAATAACAATAGAAAATCATTGTAACAAATCTTCAGCTATTTACATCATTAACAAAATTTGATGAAAAAAGACAATACATAGATTCAAGGCCACAACACACCTCACATATGTTAAAAACAAATCCTTTGTGATATATAGTAGTGGGGATCTATCTAGCATATTCCAACTCATTGACTAGGAGGTTTAAAATGTTTGTATTTTATCACATACAGAAGTATTCTAAAATAGTGTCTTAACATTGTTTTAACATAATTTGGTAAAAATGTTCATTAAAACCTTAGTCCTTATTGATTAAGTTACCAGCTTAGTAAAATACAAGACATCAGAGACATCACAACAGTCACCATATAAGGACATAAATTTGAAATTTTTAAACCCTATTTTTATTTTTTAACTAATATCTGTTTTAAACCTCAGTTCCAATATCGGCCTATGTTCAGGTCTAGATCTAGATCCCTGTACAGGTGTCAGGATATTAATCACAAAAATAATTATTCTCCATTGTCAGAGAACAGTCCACAGGTGTTTCACAAGTGCTAAGGACACACTTTATTTTAATTACTTGGTTACATATCCCTGACCATAATTTTTGCTTATGTGGAAAAAAATAATTTCAATTTTCCATTTTTCAAATACCACCTATAAATATAATCCAAATAATTTAAAAATCTATTTGACTGAAATTGACTTTCTGTTACAAATTTAGCATTGTTGAAACAACATTTTAAATATTGAAACAAATATAATCGCCAAATTAATATTACCAAGTGAAAATGCTCGGTTTTTAAAACCCTGTTATAGTAAAAAATGAGAACACCTGAATGGCTGATAGAATATTTTCTTTTTCTTTTGAACAGCCTACTTGAGTGAAAGCCCCTAAGGAAAAAAAAAATCTGAAATAGCATTTCGTTTTTGTTACCACCTACCGACAGGATTATTGCTGTAAATAAATCTGTAAACCAAGTAATAAAAAGTGTGACCTAAATTTACTCTTGTCCCAGAAGTATTTTCAGTCATTTACTACTATGCTCTATGGTTAAAATATAACAAATATGATACTTATTGTGAGTTTGTTGGTTAATGCCACACTCAGCAATATTCCAGCCACATGGCGGCGGTCTGTAAATAATCGAGTCTGGGCAAGATTAATGCAAAATTGAATGCTGAAAATCAATGCAGAATTTAAAAATCAATTAAAATACAATATTATAATTTATGCATCATATTGAGTATTTTGTAAATTTAAGTGCATAGATAAATACATTTATTATTTATTTATTTCCTAGCAACACAAATAGTAAATTAAGTAAAACTTTTCCAAAGATTACTCTGTATACCAAATTTTGAAGCACTGTTTCAACTGTGATCATGTTTGATACATCCTTTAAGGATTTAAGTTACACGCCTGTGAAGATATATATGTAATCACAATAAACTGTTACAACACTAAACGCAAATGCTAAACAATCAAGCTGCAGACAAACATGTGTTGATATGAACAAGGGAGGTAACTATGAAGCTACTGACCACACCTGAAGCCAGTGCATTGTCTCTGATGTTACAAAGGTCAAAACCTTTTTTCGGACGTCTCATGTTTGTTTCCTGATTAGATTAATGTCTGCAATCAAGTCTGGATCAGACAATCCTGTGATTGACATCATGAATAACGTTCTATGCTAACCAACAGGTTAGCTGACGCGACCTTCTACTAGGGTTTGTTAAACTCAGTATAGCAGTGTAATGAATAATACTGAGTCGAAGTTTACTTTGACTGGGAAATGAACACGTGCATAGACTAAGTCAGTGAGCCTGACCATCTGATCCTGCTACTCCACTTCATGAAGCATCTCGCGAACTCAGATAAATGTCTCATTCATTTCAGTTCAAAGTGTCTCCAGTTCAGTTCAAAGTCTTAAAAACTCAGTTCAACGACCCATGAATTCATTTGAATGCTAATGCGGTCAGCCCAATGTCAGGAACCATGATACCTGTATTGCACGCTTCTTACAACCATTGATCAATGTACTACAAATAAATACATACAAATGTCTCTTGTAGGGCTGACTATCAATGTAGATCATAGATAATCGAAAACTAATATCGATTGATTATTCTTAAACATGCAAATAACTTTGAAGCGAAAATGCCCAAAAGGTCTGAAAGAAATGAATATATTTCACATCACTGGCGAGTGATGATTGTTTCTACATGGATTATTAACACAATAGCATCCTGAACATAATTTAGAAGCAGAATAAAGACCAAACTTTGTAGATTGTATGAGTAAACTTACAACAATTTCTATCACAAAAGTTAATGTACAGTATTTTTGATACCACAATTTTCATATCGATAATGATTAATAATTTTTTCTATCAACGATATCTCCGATTATCGATCCTTTTAGCCAGCCCTAATCTCTAGCCAACTGTTAAATACACCAGGTTGTAACAGGCCAATATCAACATGACATGGTATAAGACACTTTGTTAGTTTGCTGCGGAAGCATTAAGGCTTGGCATGTCACTTAATGTGCAGGCATAATCTGAAAAAATATGTAGCAAATTATTTGAAATTAAATTAAACATTTATGAAATAACAAATGAAAGTTGACATAAGAAGTTTTATGACATCATTGCTGAGTGTATTACACATAAAATGTGAAATTCATGAATTGAGTAGTCTAAAAGTGATGTAAAAAAAGTATATGTTTGCTTTAAGCAATAGTTTATTTAGGAAGAGAAATTTACATGAAAGGGATTGCACAGGCAATTTAATGTCTATTTAGACATCTCTACGTTAAAAAGATATGTTACAAAACTTCTTGATTTTCAACAAGTGAGTGAGTTCTGTTTGACACAGATTTTCTGTTGCATTGCAGTGCTTCACATATCCAAGGAAGGCAACTCTGCAGAATGATAAAGGACTTACAGTTCCTTACGATAAATGTTATGTTTGTTTTTGAAAAAATGCACCTCACTAGAGAAAAATAGAGCCATCTCGAAGATGATAAAAATAGCTTCTGTACAAAAATAACAAATTGATAGTATGAGCGAAAATGAGCTATAAACATGAAGTGACCAAAATGTTGTTGAACAGAAGAGATATACACAATGCAAAACCGTAATGACATGAAATAAATGAGGACGCGTTGACCGCTCATCTGTGGGAGAGAATACTGCGGCTGTTCGACATTATGGCTGCAAGTTTATCATACAGTTTGGGCGGGAACTCTGACTTCCTGCTCTCCATGATCTTGACACACGTGCTTCCGTCGAACGCTTGTGTGCGGAAATAACACCTGACCTTGGTGATATCGACAAGGTTCAACAGAGTGTCAATCAAAGTGTAGTCCCTTGTTTCTAGTGCATACATGAAGGCTGTCTTTCCACTCTTTTTGTCCTGAAGAACAGAAACACAGATGAGTATTATAGTTTGTTGTTACCTTCCTCTGGGTAAAGGGGCGGTGGGGTAGCCTAGTGGTTAAAGCGTTGGCTCGTCACGCCGAAGACCCGGGTTCAAATCCCCACATGGGTACAATGAGTGAAGCCCATTTGTGGTGTCCCCCGCTGTTATGTTGCTGGAATATTGCTATAGTTTGGCATGAAATGCATGTGGACCCGGTTTTTTGTAAATATCTCTTCATCCAATGACCCAATCGATCTCAAACTGTGCAAGTGGATGTTTTGTCAGACAACCTAATCACATTGTAAATCACCGATTTTATGCATTTGTATTAAAGAATCTGTCTATGTAACTGTCAACAAAATAAACAGCAGAACGCAGAAGGCTTGCAGAGGGAGGGAGCCAATGACCTGTAACAGCGGCAGTGTTGGGTCATAAAGGTCAACGTTCGTCAATGTAGGTCAGCTTTGCTGATGACCCTGATGTCAAAAGAATCTAACTTTGGATGCCTACCTTTTTGTACAAGGTTTTGTTTATTGGTTGTTGGTTTATTTTTCACAATTGTTAGCACGATGTTCTTTTTCACGCCAAGAGCAAAAAGTTATGCGTTTCATGTAATCCGACACCTTATAAATCGGTTTGCTACGTTTGCTCTCTTTTTAAAAAAAATTAAACACATTGCTAATTAAACGTTTAGCATCATCTGAATAAGCTTTCATGATGACAGCTAGAAGAGGTCAAGGTGAATGATCCAAACGGTCTATCACTGTGCAGTGCACAGGTAACTATCATGAACTGCACGTGCATTTACCTTTATGACCCAACACTACCGCTGTTTACAGAGATTCTGCGTTCTGCTGTTTATTTTGTTGACAGTTACATAGACAAAATACAAATGCGGGTCCACATGCATTTCATTGTCCAAACTATAAAGCGATTGGGTCATTGGAAAGAGATATTTACAAACTCAGTCAGTCAGTCAGTCCTCTCAGTCAGTCAGTCAGTCCTCTTCGTAATACAATTCAACTAGATTCCAATTCAGGCAGTCTGACCATCCAATCCACTCAGTGGCCTCTAATGATAAGCATGATGATCGAGAGGTTGCTAAAGGGAGGCAAGAACAAGTACCATCCTAGCATCTTATGGTGTGACTCAGCCAGGGACTGAACCACCAATCTAGTTCAACTCTCTTCGCCGACGGTCTATCCACTAGAGCATAGTGGCAGTCAATAAAGGGAGGTCATGATTTGAGTTTTCAAACAATATCCCATCCATATCACTGACTGACTGACTGAGTTTGGTTTTATGCCGCTTTTAGCAATATTCCAGCAATATCACGGCGGGGGACACCAGAAATGGGCTTAACACATTGTGCCCATGTGGGGAATCGAACCCGGGTCTTTGGCGTGACGAGCCAACGCTTTAACCACTAGGCTACCCCACCGCCCCCCATCCATATCACAATGAAGATACCAGAAATAAGCTTCACACATTGTACCCATGTGGGAATCTAACCCGGGTTTTTGGCATGACTTGGGAACACTTTAACCACTAGGTTATAAGAATTGAACAAACGGCACCCTTGTCACCAGGCTACAGACACGCTAGGATGTAACGAAAATGCTATTCAAATCAACATTAAACCTCCTGCTCATTCTCTCGTCAAGCACATGAAGAAAGCAGCTCTCACCTGCGAGTTTGGATCAGCTCCGGCCCTGATAAGGTTTTCAATGATGGGTTTGCTGTCTGTGGGGGCGCCGGTGTCGGGGCGAGGTTGGCCGTGCTCAAGGATGGCACAATGAAGGGCAGTACAACCTGTAAGCAAAATATCACACTAGTTCAACAAATTCAACACTAGATCTGTTAGTGGTTTTCCGATAAACGAAAATAATCGAATATCGATCGAAAGAAGGATTAAAAATTATTATTGATTGTATAAAACATATTTTTGATTAATCAGAATTGTGTTGTTTTAGTATAACACACTTGAATGAAGCAAACTAACCATAAATTTTGACGAATATTCACGAACAAACATGCGCTCAACAGCGTAAAGCTATGTGCATTGTAAAATTTTAATTACTTTTATTGTTTAATTACAGTTCCAGTGTGTTTCTTGCATGTGTACATTTCATTGCATGACAGTATTAGTTATTAAAAACATTAATTAGAAAACTGGAGAAAAAAACTTCAAATTGGTGATTACATTAAAAATGTATATATTTCGATTATAATCGATAATCGTTCATCACAAGTCATCTGATAATCAATAGTGGATTTGGTTTCCGATTCTAAGATCTGTGAACAGTGGTAAACAGTTATACTATTCAAAACAAGTCAAAGAACATTTGATACTTTCATAGATAGCTTTCACTATTTTAAATCTGTCCTAGCACGACAACTACTATTGTAATATGGAATTGTGGAGCGTTCTTTCACATCTCATGAGTAGAGTACATGTATTGAGCAGGAGAATGGCGGAACTCTGGCTCTAACAAATAATCTATTTAACATGTCAAGATCAGAAATGAGATTTTTTTTTCTGTCTTTCATACCTAAACACATGTAAGATACTGTGACACGTTTAAGAAAACCTTTGCAACACAGGAGACAGTAACGGAGCAACAGAGCAACATTCACCAACAGAAACTATGTGGGATCTACCTAAAAGGCTCAGCTCTACATTATCAACCCCAAAAAATAGAGGTTGGGTGATGATGATGATTTTAAGGGGAGGGTCACCCATTTTGTTCTGGGGAGCTGGGGGTGGGGGGTGGGGTGCAAATCAATTTTGTACACACACGTACTAGGGGTCATTAATTTTGTACATAAAAATATGTTTATAATTATGCTTATAAATTATGGGAAGGGGAGGGGGTGGTCATTGATTTTGTACATGACATGCAGCGGGAGGTCACTTATTTGTACATAAATTTTAGGGGGGTGGGGGTCATTCACATTGTACATGCTTTTCCATAAATATCATCATCTCTCCCCCTAACCATACATTATGAATGGTCCCTAAGCAATCTCTGAATGAAAACTTAAACTAACATTTCATGACTAATCAGTTAAGACAACACTGACCAATAAAGCCTCAACCTAAAGTGCCATAATTCAGATGTTTGGGTCTAGTTTACATTATTTTGCCTAGAAGAACCTGATAAGAAACGTTTATGGACACTTTATGTGCCCAAATGGGAGGTTAAGGCTCTCACTGAGATGAAATGGACCCCATTTCTTAGGTTGTCTTTGTGAATGAGCTTATTTCTTTGAATCCTCCTTTGAAATTTCTTAAGGGGGGAGCTGTCAAAATGGGTGAAAAAAAATGGAATGCGAATTTGCATGTCATTCTTAAGCACGGGCCAAGCCAGTCTTCTCTGTGTTGTTCGGGGCGGTGGGGTAGCCTAGTGGTTAAAGCGTTGGCTCGTCACGCCGAAGGCCCGGGTTCGATTCCCCACATGGGCACAATGTGTTAAGCCCATTTCTGGTGTCCCCCGCCGTGATATTGCTGGAATATTGCTAAAAGCGGTGTAAAACTAAACTCAGTCAGTCAGTCAGTCTCTGTGTTGTTCCAATTTTAGTATATGTACTGCGTTATAATGAATCATGGTTTTATAAGCCAGGGCTATGAAAAAGTGACTTGAATATTATTAAAACACGAATTCATTCAGCTGAACCAGTGATGACAAAACAGTGTGCCAACAATTTCAAAGGGAGATAATTACATTTCTTAATTACCTCCCTTTGCCTACACACATTTATTTTTTTACATCATCCTTATCACAACAGTATTTGAAAGTTAACATCTTAAAAAAGTGTTTTTCTAAAGATCAACACCCTACATACTTGTTTAATGGACTTCCTCACAAAAAAATGAAAGTTTACACACATTCAAAGGGAGATAATGTATCAGAGACGTCGAGTTATCTCCCTTTGAACTTACTTATTCCCCCCCCATCACGTCCATGAATCCTGTGTATAACTTTCAAGCAACAAAGGGATATTGTAGGGTAAATACATATAACCTTGGGGCACTGTGAAGATTCTGCTGTTTATAGCCAAACAGGGAAAGGCTATATAATCTGCATAAATTAGTTCCCGAATAGTTTCGGATATTAGTCACACTTTCACATCACTATGACTTCATTTATCCAGTAACAAATTGCTTGTATTGTGACGCAGGTTGTGAATCGATTATCATGAGACTCGTATCACGATACAATACTAAACTGCTGTATCGGTACACTAGTACATGTATGGCAAAAGGTTTAACATGATTTGGTGAAACTAACCGTCGGAGTTGAACATGTTGAGATTCAGGTCCTGTGCTCTAAGTAATGACTGGAGAGTTGTGAGATGATCCTTCCCATTGGATGACGCACTGTGTATAGCTGCCTTCACTTCCTTCTGTCCGTTTGTAGATGTCCGCTGGAATCAAAATGTCCCATTGAAATATGTATATCTCGGATAGGTAAGCTAATAGGGATGTCGACCCGTGAAGGTCCAGGCTAGAATGAACCTTCAGTAACCCATGCTTGTCGTAAGAGGCGACTAATGGGATTGGGCCATACATATTTCCTAATTGTCCATGAAAAGACAACATTTTTTATTCTCAGAGATTAAAAAGTTCTAATTTCCCATCTTTGTGCATGAAAAATAATTATTTATAACTTTCATAACATCAAAAAATATGATACAAAAATTGCAAAATGTAAATGATACATAAACATATTTAAACTGATACTTTCAAAACTAAATATCCATACAGTTTTGAATGTATCGATAATTGTATTGTCTTAGAAAAAGAATCGATGCATCTCAGTGTTTCTCAATGTTACTGTAAACGTACTTATTTTCGCGTGGTGCAATTTTCGCGGAATTGACAGTTTAGACTACATCGCGCGGTCAATTATTCGCGCAATCAGTAATTGCCGGAACTGCCAGCTGTCTCTTTGGCCGCCACTAATAGCAGTGAAAACAAACAGAGTGGCTTAACCTGTCAGGCGGCGTTTATTGCTTACTCACCGGAAATCCCTATCTGTGCGATATACTAGTACACAGTAATCCGTTTACCCACGGAAGAGATGAAAAACACATCAGTCTTATGTTCCGAATTCTGACGATCTGACGAATTAACTTCTACTGTATATGAAGCTCTTTGTGATTTCAAACAAGCCGGGTTGTTGTGAATGAGATGATTGAGTGTTAAGTGACTATTAAGCTTCATGATGTACTGGTAAATAAAATCTTAATGAATAAATAAAATACTGCTGTATTATTTCTTTCGAGTCGCTTCATGGTAATCTGTTTTGTATCAAACCATCTGTCATGTGACCAATTTCCATGGCGGCCACAATACACATTGCTGTTATCGCTAATTCGGCGATGGGATTTGGCTCATTATTTGAATATGTTTTGGGAAATCCATTATAGCGACAGTTAAGTATGATTCTTTATGCTACTATCAGTCGTCATTTTAAGATTCCCGTAGATTTCTGTCTTCAAACTTGATGTGTTATGGTAACAACTCAGGGGCGAACGTGGCTAGACTGAATGAATGACAGGTTTATTCGCGGTGTATAAATTTTCGCGCTAAAATGTTTTTAAAATTGCGATCCAAAATGCACAATGCAAACATCATCAAGTAAAGATATCAATTCATTAGGTATTTTCAAGACAGCAGAAGCTTAATAAGCATTTTCAGGCTGACCACACATGTTGAAAAGATTGTAAATACCTCTGCAAGCAGATTGACATCGGCGCCATACTTGATAAGCATCTCCACCATATCAGGTTGGTTGGCGCTGACGGCAAGATATACAGGAGTCTGTGACAGAAATATGACTTGTCTGTGACAAAACTATAAATTGTCATAAACAGAAACAAAAGGATCATGATTGTCTGTAATAGGATCATGCTTAGGCTGCTAGTGATGATACAAAAAATATTCTTGAAAATCAAACTTTCATTTATATCTAACATGTCTGTACATGTGTGTAAAGAAGAGAAACCATGGCAACCAGACTAGAAGTGGGAAAGAAGCATTGTTTTAGGAAAAAATCAGAGGCCCAGATAAGCTGCGTATCCGGGTAAAATACGCATAGAAAATTTCCAATTATGCATTGAAAAATAATTGTTGCGTACCAATTACGCATTTAAAATGTTAGATACGCAAAAAGTTTAAAACAAATGCGTACGGAAAATATATTTATAAAAATCGCTTGCGTAATGAAAAAGACATCAATTGCTATCAAGTTGTACTGTTAGTATCGACAAGTGCTATACTGTCCATTTAGGATGAGTGATGTTTTATGAACTCATTTCCCTTATATTTAAGTTGGTTTTGATTAGGTATGACATAAGGCAGAACATACCTGCTTAGTAGACTTACTCAGTGACATAATACTTAGGTGAGTAAAATGACTGAAATACGCACATGTTTGAAAGCAGTGGGTAACGGAAAATGAAATACCCACTCAACATTCATAATACCCACTCCAAAAAAGTACAGTGGGTACAGTACCCACATAAGTTAAATCTTATCTGGAGCTCTGAAAAAATGTTATTTTTGGTAAATATCCGCACACAATGTCAGTATTTCTCTTTCTACATCACAGCTAGTTACCTTTGAATATGTAACTTTGAATATTTCATCATAAGCACATCGTTACTGGAAGCTTTTACACTGGTATGTTTAACATGTTGTCTTTTACGAAAGCACATTTTGTACTTCGTTTGATAAACAGATGTAGTACCTCGATAAAAACCAAAAAACAAACAAAACACAAACTTTGACATCTTTCCCTGAGTATACCACAAGATGATGGACAATACCATGTGAGGCCTGCAATATTTCTCGTACCTGTCTCTCGCTGTTCTGTGTCTATCATGGTCTACGTGAGGCCTGCAATATGTCTCGTACCTGTCTCTCGCTGTTCTGTGCCTATCATGGTCTACGTGAGGCCTGCAATATGTCTCGTACCTGTCTCTCGCTGTTCTGTGTCTATCATGGTCTACGTGAGGCCTGCAATATTTCTCGTACCTGTCTCTCGCTGTTCTCTGTGTCTATCATGGTCTGTGTCTATCATGTGGAGGCCTGCAATATTTCTCGTACCTGTCTCTGTGTCTATCATGGTCTCAGCTGTTCTCTGTGTCTATCATGGCCTCGTGGGGCCTGCAATATTTCTCCTGTCTCTCTCTGTTCTGTGTGTCTATCATGGTCTGCAGGTTCTCTCGCACGATCCTCTCCAGCAGCGCCTGCACCATGTACTTGTCCGCCTTACACACAGCCACATGCAGGTACCTGAAACACAGAGGCCAGAGCTACAGATAACTTTTTGGGTCATTGAGTTACGTACTCGCTTGTGTTCATCTCAATTGGGTATCCTAATTTTCCTTTGAGTAACCAAATAATTTGTACCCACCTCACTCAAACTTAATTGGGTATTTTGCCATTTTCCATTAATTGTAAAAATATAATAAAGTTTAAATGTTGGTTTACGTGTTTGTTATTTATATTTGATCTGTAAGATGAGAAACGATAAGATAGTCTGCAAGTTGCCAAGTTCATGTGCTGAAATAGAACCTCTCAATATACCTTAGTTACTTTATCTATCCTCAGTAATCTCTAAGTTAAAAGGGGTGGTGGGGTAGCCTAGTGGTTAAAGCGTTGGCTCGTCACGCCGAAGACCCGGGTTCGAATCCCCACATGGGTACAATGTGTGAAGCCAATTTCTGGTGTCCCCCGCCGTACATGGGGTTGCTGGAATCCCCCGCCGTGATGTTGGTGGAATATTGCTAAAAGCGGCGTAAAACCAAACACAGTCAGTCAGTCTTAGTTAAGATTTGACATTTTTGTGTACAAAGCAATCTCTGCCCTAAGGTTAACGTAACTCCCATATCTTGACATAGACTTGCGACAGTCTTAGCGTAACTAAGGTTAACAGTCTTAGCGCTAAGGTTAACGTAACTCCCATACCTTGACATAGACTTGCAACAGTCTAAGCGTTAAGGTTAACGTAACTCCCATACCTTGACATAGACTTGCAACAGTCTTAGCTCTAAGGTTAACGTAACTCCTGTACCTTGACATAGACTTGCAACAGTCTTAGCGCTAAGGTCACTTTATACAACGGAGCCCTGGAGTCATCGCAGAGTCAACTCTGTATTAAACAAATTATATTTTTCCTTCTCAAAAATCTGTATTTACTATAATTCATACTAGACTTCATGCTTTCAAATAAAAAATAATTGGCAGAGCTCAATCAACCAAACACAACAGTGGCGTAAGACGCTGGCTTTTGACAAGTGGAGAACCTACATGATTGAAAAGAACATGACTTGACTAGTTTTGCAATTTGTAGAACTCTAGAACAGGGATGGCAACAGGAACATCTATTTTCAGTTGAAACTTAATATTGTGTCATCAAACAGGGGGTTGGAATTGCTCAATTTGAATTAAAATCGGAGGAAATCCGTGGATCAGCGAAAAATTGCCATCCCTGTTAGAATCAATTCCAGGTGGATGTTTCCAAGTTTCAATCCAACTTACGTGTCCCCATCTTGGTCGGTGCACTTCAGCTCCTCCGCCGTCATGGTTGCCACACATCTACGAGCGATGTTCAACTGATTGATATTTGTTTTGGGAGCTGGAATGAAAAATACTGAGGTTAAACGATTATACTTACAGGTTAAAATTCCTTTCATAACTTTGAAGAAATGACTAGTATTTCACTGAAATGTGAATAGAATAACCATTGTGATCCAAGATTGCTGGCCAAGGCACCTTGTTTGAAATCCTGAATACATCCATGCACTTAAAAATACATTTTGTCTTAGTAATATATACATATGCAAATATCACTTGGATGTTCAAGTGGGTATCCCTTATACAAAGGGATAGCTGGCATCACAATGTTTTGTTCTGCTAATGTATTGGTAACCATGACATGAGAATCAAATGATCACAATCAATAATGTCTGAAGCAGGTTAGTGGGATACATTATACATTTCCATTATATTTAAGTTGGTTTTGATTAGGTATGACATAAGGCAGAACATACTGCTTTACTGATTAAAATCATAAAACTTAGAAGAAAGAATAAGATTTTGGATGATTAATGGAATCTCACCCTTGCATTTTGATATGAAATATATTCATACTAGTCGATAAGTTTAAAAAATCTAGGCAAGATTTGAGTTTTGGAACTTCTTGGCGTTGATATATTTGATGATTTTGTTTTAAAATTAGTTTTGCTGTTTAAAACCGCATTCAGCAATATTTTAGCTATAGGACAGGGTTTTAAGTAATCGAGTCTGAACCAGACAATCCCGTGATCAACATCACGAGCATCCATCTACACAATTGGGATACGATGATATGTGTGAGCCAAGTCAGTGAGTCTGATCACATGATCTCGTTAGTCACCTCTTACGACAAGCATGGTTGGCTGAAAACCAATTCTGACCCAGATCTTCAAGGGATACATGGATGAGATTCACAAAATCTGACAATTTGTTACATTGTCTTATAAAAGGCATAAAGTGATACAGGTCATTCTTGATGTTGTTTGAAGAGCCAATCTACAATGATGATTTAGGACAATCGTGGGACTACAATCTCTTTGCAAATCATGTCGCAAGTATCTGCGACAGAACCCTAATTGTCACTCCCTGATTTCGACAACAGACAAAACTTTTGAACACTTACTTGAAGGCTGAGTCTTGTTGGAACTCTGTGGCACCTGACCACTTGTCATCAGTGACACTTGACCAGATGGCTGCGCTGGTTTGGGTGTTGTCACTGCCTTTGGAGATGAATTCACAGGCACGTTTCTAGAGTCAGACGTAGCTATCCCCGGGAACAGGGTTTGGCTGAATCTTCGGGCGTATTGATCTGAAAGTGGGTGTCTTCTTTGCTGGTGGTTGAGGAGGTGACGCAACAAACACGATTTGGGGAGGAGCCGGTATTACGAGGATCTGCCCAGTTGTGACAGGAGTCGGATTCATCTTCTGAGAATTGATGACACTCGGGGTGACCGATATCGGGAACTCCTGTTGTACTAGGAGGTTGCTTCACTAACAGAACTGGTGTGCTGGAGGTTGGAACTTTACGCTGAATCTGATTGGGCTGGACGCTGGCTACTGGGATGCTTTTCCTGGGACCAGGCTGACCAGTAGCGGGCAGTTTCTGGTGCAGGGGAACAGGTGCTTGTTTCTGAACTGGCAGCACTGTTTCTTGGACTCCTTTCTTATGTTTCTTCTTGTGTTCATCCACATAAAGATCCAACCCAATGGTTTCAATAACATCCAGAAAGGTCTCCAAATTGTTATCAATATAATTGCTATTCTGACTAGATTCTTTTCCTTGGTCAACTACAGGTGTCTGCAAGTATCCAGTCTGATGTATTGGGTTCACCGCTCCCCCTGGAACTTGATACTCCAAGCCCTGGTAGCCCATATTACTCTGGTAGCTTGGCGCCTGGTGGCCATACCCTTGACTGGTCGGCACTGGCTGATTGGAGCTTGTGGGAGTGGGAGGGTGTCTGGAACTGGTGTCATACAAATCAATATTCACTCGTACCCCATTGTGGAGCTCCTGGGACTTCCAATGTCAATGGCAGATCCTGGACTTGAAGCAGATGTCATGCACGCGCCACTGTCGACAGAAGGAGGTGGAGAGTACATGGTCTGCTCTGGAGGGGAATCCTGAATCTCGCTGTAGGGGCTGTATGGACTACTGGCTCCCTCGCTGATGTAGCCCTCACTGGCCGAGTCCTCGGTGGAGAAACTTGTTCGGGTTTCCCCTCCTTTTTGGCTTCGAATGGTCTCCATCACTTGGTTGACATTGACTTGGGTCTGATCCAAATACGATCCATTGACCAGTTGGGGATTCGGGCGTGAAATGTTGTTATGGCAACCCTGCCGAAGGGAGTATGGGGGGATGTTTGTAAGCATCTCTGGATCCTTGTAAGGCTCGTCACCCTGACTCAGCAAATTAAGGATGTCAAATTCTCCCGAATTTGCAGTGTCTCCGCACTGGAAGCTGGGTATCAGAGACTCTATGTCTGGGCTGTTTACCGTCACTTGGCCACCGGAAAAACTCTTTGTAGAAACAACATTTGAGAAAGTCAGATTTGAAGTTTGCGTCTTGGATGGGTCACTCAGATTGTTGATCGGCTCCACAGGCTTTGTATACTTGTAAGGCTGCTGGTCAAATTCATCGCGGGATCGTTTCGTCACTTCTTGTGGGTAGTTGCTCATAGTCGACCGCTGCTGGCACACTAAGTTGTTGTTATACAACTGAGGAACTTGGCTGTAATTACCAGAAAACTGGCCATAAAGTTGTCGGTTGACGCTCACTGGGTAGTTCTTAGCAGCGACATGGTTATATCGGTCAACATGTGGATTGTGATTGGCTGGATTCCCACCCATAGGGCCTCTCTCTGTTGGCTGCTCGGTTTCGGCTTCTTGTTGCTTCCGTTTTTTCAACCTCCGCCAGTGTTGTGATTTCTGATTCATTTATTTCCGTGTACTGCTCTCCATCATCCAAGCCTGGTTTCTCATCCAATCTGACATTGGAGATTTTGCTGCTCAGGTCATCAACCTCAGTCCCTGGTTTGATTTCTGCCAAAGATTTCAACTTGTCTGCAATTGTGACCTTGGAGAGGGCAGTGACCAGGGAATCAGGGGTCGTTCCGTTTGTGTCGTCTTCAGAATCAGAGAGGCCATTTTCGACTGGCTGTGGAACACTATGTGTTTCGGACATTTTGTTATTGTTTCTGTTCATCTCTGAGTTACCTCCCTTTGATGATGGTGCCTCATCTACTTCTCCATTGCGATCAGTTAGATGGGGCTTTCCTGAAACAGATCAAAGATATATCTTTCAACTGTCAGTTTGTTCTAATCATTGGTTTAAGATGATGCTTCAATTGGAATATGTTAAATAACTTTAAAATAATATATCATCAGGCTACATATCTGTTGTTTCTGTATCAAAATGTATAAAGAATAACATTATTTGATAAGTTGGTGTAATGGCTTAACACGTTTTCAATACAATAAACACATCTAAAACTTGCAATCATGATCTAATTAACATGTAAATTAGGTCATTTCGAAAGAAAATACCCTCATTTCACTCCATACATTGACATGATGTATATTTCCTAAATATAATGAAAAGGAGCCTTGAGACTTTCATCATGGAAATCTAGACTTGCCACATAATCTAGACTTGCCACATATTCTAGACTTGCTACATAATCTAGACTTGCATGGGCTTTCTTGGATATGTTTGCTTCAGGGTCTGTATGACAGACTAAAGGACATCATACTGCATATAAAACTCCCCTGTGAAATCTATATGATGACAAAGAATGTCCCCTCAAAATGGGTGTACTATTTAACAATTAATATTGAAACGTCAAAGTTCAGAACAGCTGATGATGATAACTAATACTAAAGTTACAACACATACTGCTATGAGCTCATCAGCATGTCATTATCCGGCGATGCTTATCCACAAATAAAATCATGTCATAACTGCCCATCGAGTTTGTTGCCAGTCCAAAGCCAACAAAATATTCTATTTTACTGTCGGCAAATCCGATGCGCAAATTACATCCGTGATAAAATTGTCAACACATCGTCACGATCTGGCCTTGGTTGCCTAGCTCTTGCATCCGATATGTGACAAACTTTCTCCAAGGGCCATAATGGTCAACCCCACATACCTGCTACGCAATGATAACGGTGCTTTTGTCGCCTGGTTATTCCTGTACAGCGATGTGTGCAGGATTACGCTCAGTCAAATAAACTAACAATGGCGGACACTGTATACACGGTGAACTCTCCTTAGCTATGCATGAGCTGTCACACTGGCTGTGTCAACAACGGATTTGTGGGTCTGGCTTTTTAGCCGACATGTAGGTCAAACGGTAACAGGCATGACGCAGTAATCACGTGACCAGCTGTCAACCAGGGGAGATATATGATCTTGTTGCCGACCGGGCTGTGTCAATGGCTGGTTGTTTAGTTTCAGTGTCGATTGCCTTATTTTAATCGAAATATTTTCAAACAAAACGATATGGTTTTACTTTAAGCCTTGTTTAGTTTTAAGTTCTGTACGACTGAAAACAAATTGATATCGCTAAATTAGATGTCACTCAAAATGGGTCGCATTCACAAATATATATAAATGTCATGACATTAAATATGATATTTGTGTTGTTCAGTACATACAGTATCTAAAATGTCGTAATTTAATAAAGACTGCCAGTATGAAACTGCGAAACCGTTTATTTCTTTCCTTGTGTAAAACCGACTTGACATATTTACTCGTGTGTACATAGATAACATATGGATTGTAGTGACGATCAAGGTGAATAAAACTACGTAAAATATAAGCAGAACGAGGAACGGAATGTGAAAATGCTTATTGTCCCGGTCTAGGCAACAGATCTAGACGGAAACGAGCGAAAAAGTCGACATAACACTCACCTGTTGAAATCACATTATCCAGTTTCTTGTCCACGTCAGTAACATCACACGCCCCATCCTCTTCAACATCATCAGGCAACTCGCCCGATGTGAACTTCATAGTGAAACGTGTAATCCTGAAATCACAAGTTGTAGAACGATCCTTACTGTTGTGCTCACAAGCTGAAGAATCAGTAATGGAACTGATATGGCAACCCGGAAGACGAATCCGATTGGCTATGTCGTCACTAGAAATGAAAAGGGGAATCCCCTAATTATAGACATGGGTTTCGTCAGACCAATCAAACCACTCCGTTTACGCCGGAGCGACCACTGACGATTTACAGTATGCAGTATAACCACCAATGAGAAATGAGAACTGTCTGTAATTGAAATAATCTCGCAGCTGCATTGTTGAAGCGGTATTTTCTAAAAGGAAATACCCAACCTGCAATATCTGCTCCTCTCCGAAAACAGCGGTCGATAATGGCGTTGAATAAATGTATTCATAGCTCTTGAAGTTTTCAAATCGTTAATACGGGCGTTGTGTAAATTTAGAATTGGCTTTCATGATTTTAGAATTCACTATTTACGCAAACCCAATAGAGCTTTCAGTGATGTAAATGAATCCATCTGTAAAAATTGTAATACAGGTAATATTGAAAGTGAATTTCATGTATTATTTGTGTGTACCAAGTATTTAGATTTAAAAAAGTAATTATTTATCATTTGTATCAACACCTGTAAGAGATGAACAAATATTGTCCAGTCTGTTAAATTCTAAAAATATTGATATTATCAAATCTATTGCAATTTATTTAAAACATGTCTTTAATGCAAGAAATGTCACCACAACCATCACGTGCATATAATTGTAGCAAGTGTATTTGTACTATAGGCCTTTAGGCCCGGAATACTGAATAAATATGAATCTTAATCTGAATCTGAAGTTTTCAGAAACAACTCAGTTAAGACTGCCCGTATACAACCAGACTGACTGACTGACTGAGTGTGGTTTTACACCGCTTTTAGCAATATTCCAGCAATATCACGGCGGGGGACACCAGAAATGGGTTTCACTCATTGTACCCATGTGGGGATTCGAACCCGGGTCTTCGGCGTGACGAGCCAGTATACAACCAGAGACCATATAATAAGATTATTTCATGGTAACCTAGTTTTGATCAGGTCATTGCTGTTTTGCTTTGTTTTATTGTTTTAATGCTGCACTTCAGCTATATGGCAGCGGTCGGTAAATAATGGCGTCTGGTCCAGACAATCCAATGATTGAGCATCGATCTACAAAATTAGGATACGATGACATCCGTGAACCAAATCAGCCAAATCCGATCCCCTTAGTCGCCTCATAAGACATGCATTGGTTGCGGAAGATCAATTCTAACCCGGATGTACACGGGTGAGTGGTATTATGAGAAATGGATCACGATGACTCGCAGTCTAAACTTGGAGGGCGGTGGGGTAGCCCAGTGGTTAAAGCGTTCGTCCTTATTGCCGAAGACCCGGGTTCGATTCCAAACATGGGTACAATGTGTAAAGCCCATTTCTGGTGTCCCTCGGCATGATATTGGTGGAATATTGCTAAAAGCGGCATAAAACCAAACTCACTCACTCAATCTAAATTGTTCTCAGCCGGCTTGCGACTCTTCATTTCGCACACAAGCAACCATCTGCTTTTATAGCATTGGCCAACAGACCAACAATTACATAGGCAATATAGGGGCTTTTTACCAACCTCACAACACAAAACTCTCATATTTAAAAAAAAAAATCTTCTGCAATGAAACCACCCGGTCAGGCTCACTGACTTGGATGACACGTCATTGTATCCCATTCGCCTTGGGTTTGAAGCCGCTTTGATCGGTATTATAAAATATATTAACTGCATGTCGGCGAGGTTAGACAGGAAAGCCTGACGCGGCGGAATGGGGAAGGTTTCGGACGGTTCCCAGACGCCCAAGAGTAGTTAACAACGTCTCTATAGCGCCTTTTTTCAAGATGGCGGCACTTCCGGTCTTGCGATCCAAGATGGCGGCACCTCCGGTCTTGCGATCCAAGATGACGGCACTTCCGGTCTCGCGATCCAAGATGGCGGCACTTCCGGTCTTGCGATCCAAGATGGCGGACGCGATCCAAGATGGCGGACGCGTTTCAAGATGGCGGGGCGCGTTTCAAGATGGCGGACGCGTTTCAAGATGGCGGGGCGGGTTTCAAGATGGCGGAGCGGGTTTCAAGATGGCGGGGCGGGTTTCAAGATGGCGGACGCGTTTCAAGATCGCGACGGACGGGGAAGGAGGGAGGGAGGGTGGGTGGTGATGACGATGGCGTGCGTGCGGTGACGATGATGTAGTTCTAGATAAGTGTGTTTATTGTTGTACCAGCCTCAAAGATACCTATATTTGTCGGTTGACGTATGGATGCAAGCGTGTAGTGAAACGAAAGCTGGGCATTCACCCATGCCAATGTGTGACCCAGCTCTGGTCCCTGTGAGTGAGGTACACACCACAAAACGGTCCTTTTCAGGGCCACCCATCTCTCTCAAAAGAATGGTACATTCAATGCAAACAACAATAATAACAACGATAGACTGGCATTTTGTTCAAACGTTTATTTCCCCCCGCTAACAAGAACACTTTGACAAAAGAGGCAGGATTAGGGGCGTCCCTGATCTTTTGTTTACAAACGGTATGAACTGTAACATCATAATTGTAACATATCACAATATATTCACCTAATGATGTGAACGTTGTGATTTCATTGTATCTACTACAAAATGGTTCAAGTGGCTGCAACACAATGCCCAGTAACGGTACTCACACATGTTGTTTTCATTCAAGGGGCTTTCCTGTCTACCATACTCTTGATCCATTTGTTTTGGGGAATTGTTTGCACACCTTCGTAAACCCGTGTCACGATCGTGACTATCACTAAGGAGATCCCGAGATTTAACTGTGAAGAGTGGGCATAACACCATTCTTTTGAAAGTGACGGTCCCATGGCAAATGGCTACCGCTGTTGTGTTTACGTTAGACATTGCATAACTGTGACGTCATCGATGACTTCACAGCTCATGTGGAATTCCCAGAACTGAGTATTTTCCGAGAACTGCTCATTCTCATTTCTTTAACGTAGGAGCCCTGTGTTGCCATTCTGGGCGATTGCATTAAAGTCATCTATGTTTTTTCCAGTTTCATCTGTATACCATCCTGTGACCGTATGCACATGTTAGGCGTAGCTAACGTCAGGCGTAACACACTACGTCGGGCTTAGCAGCGCCCTCCTCTTACACGTCATGCACAACGTCGGTTAAGCCTAGGCGTTGCTACACCCGGATTAACGGATTTACGTCGAGGAGCAGAGAGCTATTTTCAGATTTTCGAACGTTTTTAAACCACCGGTAAAAAGGCGCGAAACAACTTCTCGGTACATCCCTTTCAGCCGTAATCATGGAAAGCCAAAGAAAACCGAGAAAACCCAACTTTACCGATGGATCCTGATGGAGAAATAACATGGACTTTCAAAATGGGCTTCACCATAAATGTCGCCATTTTTTACACATTACGAAATCACGATTCACAGCGTTATTTGGTGTATGTTTTCAAATGTTCAAATCGGATAATTACTACTCAGAAGTATTGAATTTCAAATAGCATATTACTGATCACTGATATCAGGTTTTCATGAAATCACTAATGATAATTCTGAAAATACACTTACACGAACGCCGAAGTTCGCTTTCCGTCATAGTGGATAGTGTTTACAAAATCACGTTTCGCGAAGGCCGGTATTGAGACGCCAATTATATCACGTATATATCATATTCAGCTGCGACAAATGCATCACTGAATTCCCCATACATTTTAGAATCAAATTACAAATGGGCTTTGTCACCAATATCAACTGTCTTGATAAAATGAAACGAAAGATATTGGGTGTGACAAGTCCAAACGAACGCTGTGCTCGAAAGGCTGCGCTTGTAAAGAACGAAAAATTCCGATTTTACACTACGTATCATTTTCTGAAATTTTCCGACATTCAGCCGTCTATTCATTGCTTGCAGTGGCTCAATAGCTTTAGAATATGCATGGAAAGAGTATCGTAGCAAGACATGGGAAATTAAAAACAGATACAATGCAATCATTTGATAATTCATAAGAAATTGTCGAAGTTTCCGTGCAGCGTGACGCCATGACTGACGCAAAATCACGCAGAACGACAAAGGTAATTATCAGCATTTCTGGCTTCTTCTCTTACTTTAATACAATGAAAACGAAAAAACATATAACAATACACAGATAGTCAGAATCATTCTGATTACTTACATCTCATATTTTATAAACGAACGATCCTTGAATCAAGGGAAGGGTCCTCGCAAAATCCTGTGTACCCTTGTCAACGACGCCGCCATTTTGTAAGATATCGGTCATCGGTAGTGATGTCATACGTCAACATTGTTGTACATGTTAGGCATTTTCTTTGAGGTGAATGTCGGTTGAACAAGAGTAAACACAATCGCCCTATCCTTCCGATTACACTTTCAGTATTATGATGTATGGTTTGCGTATCGTTCAGATATTTTTTCATCAAACTAATTTCTGTATATACATTTAGCCTTGTTCAATACCATATTATACGTGGATATAAGGGCAGGCGGTTTTTTTTTATTCTTTGAAAGTTTTTGATTGTTTGAATAATATTTACATAAGAAATTGACGCATTTAGTGTAGTACACCATATTTTAAATCTTTACACAAGTATTAGAAGATCACACGTAGCCATAACTGCAAAATATTTGGGTGTTGTGAAATATTATTTTTCATTTACGTTAAATTGATGCCAAACAGGTGCGCGTGCTACTCACAATAAGATACGCAGTCAAACCGTCTAATTGTTGATATATTCGGGACACTATTTAATTGGTAAAATCATTCGTTTTATGTTTTCTCTAAAGAGTGTTAAATTCTGACATAGAAGCCGAGACCTTTTATACAATTAATGGAAATTAGGTAAGATATATACTAATTAGCAAACCAATGTCGTCTTTTTCCGATAAAACAAGCAATGACGTCAACTAAAATGTTGTATTATTATCAGTAATTTCATTACATTTGAAGATATGGCTAGTACTCCGTTAATAATGATGTAAAATTAGTCATAATACATCTACACAAACAGGAGAACATGGGAATCTAAGAACTAACTTACA